TTATCATAACATGAATATAATTTTTTTGTATTTAAAATATGTATAGCATAAATACGGTATTGTAATTTATTCTATAGTGTTTAGACGTCGTATACACGAATGCGTGAACCGTATTTAAAACAATGGCCTCAACCATGAACAAAAACAATGAGTATTCCATTGAGTCATAGACCGTGGTGAAAAATTCATTTATCTATATGTGCAAAGTATTAGTTCTATTTCATCATTTGATTTAATCATTTTTTTTCGTTTATAATTTTATTGATTTCAAATCGGAATTACAAAGTCAGCATACAAAACTTTCAGAAAATAAATTATTATATAAGTAGATATATGCGTCATATAATGAAAAAAATACATTAAAAAAAATGAAATTAACGATGATTTCCGTAGATAAGCCTTACTCGCTAACAGATAACTATGTTTTTACTTTTCTTTCAAAAAAAAAAAGTAATGTTAGTCATTTATAATTAATTGTTCAACCGGTTTTTGTGTTGTTTTAGTGGTAATTTCCAAACCTGGGATCCCACCACTTGAGAGAAAGAACACGGTTACCCATTTGAACCGACAAACATCAAGGCAAACCAATGCAAAAACCATTACCAAACTTGAATCTGATTTTTTTGCCACCATTGGAGTTTCAAACAAATCCAATAAGGATATTTGACAAAATAACACATCGATTGACATCATCATGAACCCAACTCCTTTGCCACACAAAGAGAGAAACACTGAACAAAGTAAATGAAAGTGTTATATCAGACACTGTTCCGATTAGTGTTTGGGCGGGGAACAAACAATGCAAAGTAAATTCTCAGAGACAATACTTCATGAATAAATCTTTCAAAAATTAAAGAGATATGATAGAAATGTGGTGAATCAATGCTTAACAATGAAAGAGAACTAATCATCTATTTGCCGTTATCAATTCCTTTTTAGAAAAAAAGAAATAATTAAACATGGGAAATGAAATATCTTTTTTTGATTACATTATTATTTTGATTATAGATAACATTTCCTACAAATCACATATTT